GTCCTGTACCCCCCCCCCCCCCCTCCCCTGGCTCACCTGCCTCAGCGGGCAAGCCAGGAAGGGCTGGAGAGAGAGTGGGGAGACATTTACCGGTAAATGCCTCCCCATGCCTTCCTTGGCTCACCCGCCCAAGCGGGCAAGCCTAGGAAGGCTCCTAGAAGGGCCCCCATCCCTCTCCACAGACCAAAACTCTGGAGTTGCGCCACTGCTCCATTATATTCTATGGCCCCATAGAATATAATGGAAACATCGCGCTGCTGCTGTGGCGTGACTCTAGAAAAAAAAAAGCACGGGGGTGGGGCTGCCGGGGCGGGGTGCCGGAGTGGCACTCTGGTGTGTTCCAGCCCCAAACGACTCCTGCTTCTATAAGATTTAACAGCAATAGATCCCAAAACATCCAAAGACTGGGCTGACACAAGCAGATCCACCTAACAGTAATAGGATCCAAATTACATTTTACCAATTTGTCAACAAAAATATTAAAATCCTTACTGAAATCAAGATAAACTATGTCTACAGCATTCCCCTGATACAGCAAGGTAGTAGCTTTCTTGAAAAAAAAAACCTAAGGTTAGTCTGACATGACTCATTTTCATCCATTTAAAATGATATACATTTATTTTTTTCTTTCCAAAGAATAGAATGCCATGTGTGTTTTTCCAGAGAGCTCTATCTAAACAATGTAATACCTTGGAACTGCACTCATATATTCTTATGGTTAACAGCCAGGACATATAAATAAGTTATTTACTTGCTCTTTTCATGAGCATTGAAACAAGCCTAAAACTTAGTATGATTTAAAAATGTGAGCCTAATAGTGTCAGGTGGTTAAAAATCCTCACTGCCATTTGGCACCTTTCTGTTGAAATAAAATGACTGATAATTTATAAGCCACACTGCTCAAATAAGAGTAGCTTGAGGCTATCATGACTAGCCATGGCTAGAGAATGTGCCAGCAGAGATGTGTCAAAACCTCCTCAGCAGAAAAGAGACTTCCTTCCTTCTGCCTCTTATTTAATGGGCCAGTTGGGCATTTTTTGCTATTTACTTTATTTCAAAGACTCAGCCCTCTGACTTGCAGTATCTCTTCCCACCCCACATGTTCCTCAAGATAGAAAAAAGAATGGAAATACCATGCGTTATTTACCCCTACCCTATGCTTACAGAGCACAGGAAGTATGTATTGATTGTCCCCTTTAACAGCAGTAATAAGAATGTAAACGCAACCTTTTGCTATTCTCCATCAAAGCAATGCAAGCCAGATTTCCTCTTGCACAAGGCTTCATTCATCTCCCAGGCTGTCAATACATCCTGATGGAGCTTTAAGGCTCTTATCAATATTTAACTATGCTCCCATTGACTCAGCAATTACAGAGTAATTGATTTAAGGCTGATTATCATCATGTTAACGTTTTAATGTTCAAAGGCCAGGGCAAGTGAACGTGAAATTATTTGGAGTGTTTTCTGCTATATAAGAGAGAAGAGGGCAATGGTGGATGGATAGGATTATCGCATAGTATAACCTTACTTAGGCTTCTATCAAATATTTCAAGGATGCCTCTATCTTCTGGATAGAGGGCAGAATGTTGGCCGAAGACCTAGAATATCTGTATTCAGATCTTTTCATGGATTCACTGGGTGGCCTACAGTGAGTGATGCATGGTCATCTCACACACAGTTTGCCACTTGTTGAGAATGACTGTGCCCTATCTTGTTGGATTTTTAGAAAGATACAGAAACATTGCAACATGCCATCAAGAAAGGAAGGTGAAAAATAATCTAATTAAATAAAGATGCTTCCTTTAATGATTAAAAGATTCAGGTGTAAATTATTTGTTTTCCTTCAGTTCCCATTGACTTAGATAAATTATTTCTGAATAACTGGTTTGAGGATTGCAGCTTCAGGTGTTTGCTTGTGTGCTACATTGTTTGTCACTCTAGTATGCTATGATTTCATGGTGTTACACTTTACTTTGGTTCAAGTGGCAAACTTACAATTCTGGCAATTCCCAGGACCTGTCTTTAGGCAGAACTGATTACAGGACAGGCCCAGAGGCACCCAAAAAGATCTCTCTAAACCCCCTCAGCACACCACTGACTTAATACAAACATTATATATAAGAATACATATCATTATTTGCTTGGTTCCATGTCCTCTGGTACTAGCTCCCTACCAAACTTTGCCCCATTAGACCTCACTTTCTCAACAGCCTTGTTTTTAGGTATAGGAACCTCTCCCAGCATGATCTTCCCTATCTTCTCCAATCTTCATCTCAGAATCTATTGAAGTTCCCTGGTCCACAAACTGTCCACTTTGTGTCAACAAGAGCAAGGGCCTTCTCAGTAGGGGCTCCTAACCTGTGGAACCAACTGCCTGAAGAGATGTGTACCTTGTGGGACATCCCTAGGTTCCAACAGGTATGCAGGGCTGCTCTTTTTCAGGTGGCCTTTCGGTGATTGTGATCCACTAGGCAGCTGGGAAATAATGCTTCAGCTGTATCTTCACAATCCATGCATCCTACCCTGCTTGATAGTAGATAGATTTTAACCGGGATAGATTTTTAATCATTTTATATTTTGACGTTTATTTATTGTATCTTGTGTACTGTTTTTATTGGGTATTTTTTATATGCTGTTAGCCATCCTGAGTTCCAAAGGTCCCACCTGTAGGCCGGCATCCCTAAGATTCCTGACTGACTGTAAGGAGGAGAAGAAGAGATTGGATTTATACCCTGCCCTTCACTACCCAAAGGAGTCTCAGAGCGGTTTACAAGCCCTTTCCCTTCCCCTGCCCAAAACAGACACCCCGTGAGGTAGGTGGGGCTGAGAGAGCTCTCTTGAGAACTGTCCTTGAGAGAACAGCTCTGAGAGAACTTATGACTGACCCAAGGTCATACCAGCAGCTGCATGTGGAGGAATGGGGGAATCAATCTCGGTTCTCCCAGATTAGAGTCTGCACTCTTAACCACTACAGCAAACTGGTAAGGGTACAGAACTCCCCTCCAAGTTCCCCCTGAATATAGCAACCGAGCACCTGGAACCTGACTGTCCAGCCTTGAGGAGCCTAGCAGTTTTGGCAGTTGGGAAGCAGCATGCTGATGTTCTACTTACCTCCCATCGTCGATCATTGGTAAAAATATCTTCACTTGCCAGCTCCAGCTGGTTCCATTCCAAAAGCAATTTTAGTTGCCCATTCCAGTTATCTTTATCCTGCTCATTGGTACTGAAAGCTACAAGTGGAGAAGAAGTTCTATGTAGGACGAGCCTTAAAATAGCTCTCTGGGCTGTTTCTGATTCTCATCTCTCTGGCCAAGAAGCTAAACTAACCTACTTGACTAAATCCAGGAGCAGAATTCAGGATGGGTCTGCCCTTCCTAGATATTATCGTCTTGGGGCCTCATTTAATCTTTTAAATATATTAGATTAATAGAAAACAATGGAAGTATTTAGAAGAATTACATTGGTCCTGGTCACATGGAGGATTTGCCCCGCAAAAGGGATGGATTGAGGGCACATCAAACGGGCGCAATCATACCACAACATCTGGGAAGCATAGAGCACCCGTCTCCAACCCGTACTGTTGGCCCGAAGAAGCAGATTTAAAAGGCACTGGGGGAAAGGTAGTAGCTTCCGGTAAATGCACGGCACGGGCGGGCGTCTGATCGGAGACGTGCCGGTAGCCCATGGCATCCAGCAGCCGTCCGCGACCCGTGCATGCCGTGTTACCTTGCTGGGACTACGCTGTTGCCTCCCTGGTGTGATCGGCTGCCAATGGCCTAAAGACAGAGCCGCAGGGGACCGTACGATTGCGCTCCTGTGCTTCTTTTAGCTCCGCCTCTAAAAGGCATCCCTTCCAGTGCGGATTTTCCCGCTCATGTGACTGGGGCCATTATAGGCTTACATTAATCATACATACATAAGCCCCCCCACCCCCAAATAAACTACAGCAGACTGAGACTCCAGAACTTGGGGACCTATCTTTTTCTTGACTAGAAGGAAAAACATTATATTCCCAACAAAATGTATTAAAAACAAGAATTTAAAGTCACTCCTGGTATTACAGGTCTGGTGATTCAAATTCCTGTCTCCCTAATTATGGCAGCCATACCCAAATCCATCAAGTCTTCATCAAATCCCTCCCACCTGCATCAATGAGCATTCTGTGTTCTCACAATAAAGAAGACGACAGATTGGACTTCTACCCTGCCCTTCACTACCCAAAGGAATCTCGGAGTGGCTTACAATCTCCTTTCCGTTCTCCTCCGCACAACAGATAACCTGTGAGGTAGGTGGGGCTGAGAGGGCTCTTTCAAAAACTGCCCTTGAAAGAACAGCTCTGAAAGAACTTGTGACTGACCCAGTAGCTGCATGTGGAGGAGTGGGGAATCAAACCCGGTTCCTACAGATTAGAGTCCGTGCTCCAAACCAGTACACCAAACTGGCTCTCACCAGATGCCCTGTAAGTTCAACAGATCCTACAACAGCTGCCTTTATACCAATATCCACAGTTTTTGAACAATCCAGTCCCACTCTCTTAGAAAAAAAGAAAATGCTGAAGAAATTGTAGTCTGTGCAAACCAGCCCTTCAGATCTCCTATAGTGTTCCAACACACTCTTTTACCTTTCTTAGGACTGCCACTCCTCTTAAACAATAAATGCCCAAATATCAGTGGAGCATCCACATTTCAGCACAGATCAAACATCCCTGAGTAAAATCTATCCCACCTTCTTATAAAAGGATTCTAAAAGGATTGGCTCAAGGGGATAAGTCAATACTAAACATTGTCCAATACCCTGCAATTAATTAATTAACCATAACTCAACATGAAATTGAGCCAACTTCAGAGGACAGCGGAAGACAGGAGGGCCTGGCGGGAGCTGGTCCATGGGGTCGCGAAGAGTCGGACTCGACTGTGCGACTGAACAACAAAAAATCACAACAATTAAATATTGGGCTGGATCCAACAGTCTCCCCCTCACTTTTCCTTCTGACCAGCATTCTTTTCCAAACCTAGGACAGTCAATTTGCTGGGGTTGAAGGATCTACATGAAAAATGGCTTCCTTCTCCCACTTCTACCAGACAGCTCTGGGGAGATTTTGCCATGCCTCTTTTCTAGCATGCATGGCTATTTCTCTATGTGGGTCCTGAATTCCTAGGAATCATATTTGCAGGGTCAGGAAGGACCGCTGGGGGGTGGGGGGAGAGACAGCTGGGTAAATCCATGATCTGCCAGAGCCTTCCACTGATGGACTGCGAGATCCAACCCATTGTTAGGAAACAAAAATAATCATACCTTTATAAAGAGCATAAGAAATGGCATTGCTCACGATTTCATCTCCGGCTTCTTCTATTTTGATCACAGTAAGCAGATGTGGGTTTTCAAGGACTTCTTTGATCTACAAAAGAAAAGTCAAGTTAATCTAGCCTAAGAAACTTCATAGCCAAGATAACATTTTCCCACTAAAGACCATCCCTAGAGACTTACAGATACAACTTCCTTTGTTAACTACTACATTTTTCTTCAAGTAGCTGGAACTCCTGTTTGACTCTTGTGTACACTATTATTAGGATTGCCAGGTCCTGGCGGGGGGTACTTTCTGGAATCTTCTGCTGCATGCATGAGGTGCACACCTGAAAGTGATGTCATTACATCAGCACTGTTGGGGGGCTGGTGACGCTCTAGTTTTTGGGCAAGACTCTATGGTTTGTGGCCAATTGTACCATGGAGTTTTGCCCAAAAACTAGAGCATCACTGCGCAATGGTGGCAACATGATGATGTAACTTCACTTCCAGGTTACATCATCATATCACCTTTCAGGCCACTTGGGGCCAGCGGTGGGGAAGCAGGGGTCTGGCAACCCTAACTACTATTTTAGTTTGGTGTAGTGGTTAAGTGCGTGCACTCTAATCTGGGAGAACCGGGTTTGATTCCCCACTCCTCCACTGGCAGCTGCTGGATGACCTTGGGCAAGCCATAGTTCTGACAAGAGCTGTTCTTGAAAAAGAGCAGTTTCTGTCAGAGCTCTCTCAGCCCCACCTACATCACTGGGTGTCTGTTGTGGGGAGTGGAAGGAAAAGGAGTTTGTAAGCCGTTCTAAGACTCCTTTGGGTAGTGAAGAGCGGGGTATAAATCCAATCTCTTCTTCTTCTTCTTCTTCTAGTTACCACTGGAGAGTTTGAACAACAACAAATGATTTCTGTCATTCTTTGAAACAATTTTCATATTATGCCATTTTGTGTAACATGGTCAGTTAACCTGCACTTTCTTCCGTAATGCTGCTCCACTCATCTCTAGTTAGGGAGCAATATTTGTTTCTTAAGTCAGATATGCATTATGTCATAATATCTCTCCCTTATTATAAAAGAGTTTTGGGTGCCAGAATTCTAAAATTGGCCCCTTTAGTGTTAGGCCGAAAAAACTGCCACTCGGAAGACACTGGCTGGGTTCATTGGCTGCTTTGTGCAGTCCCGGCCAGCGTTCCAAGGTCATTTACATATGGAAGCTGATTGGACTACACTCCATTCCACACCTCACACTCACCCCCCCCCCCGCAAGGCAGTTGGAATTTTCAGTTGGGAGAGGAGAATTATGTCAGCTGCTCCCTAGGCAGAGGCTGTGTGTGTGTGTGTGTGGGGGGGGTTGTAAAGACAGACAGGCAGATAAACGTTGGCTGATGGTTGCCAACTCCAGGTTCGAACTCCAGGACATAGGGTTGCCAACTCCAGGTTGGAAACTTCCAGGATATTTTAGGGATGAAGCCTGCTGAGGGTGGGATCTGAGGAGGAGGAGGAAGAGGGGGACCTCAGACAGATACAATGCCATGCTGCCCACACTCCAGACAAGCTGTTGCCAGTCTCCAGGTGACAGCTGGAGAGATCTTAAAGCTTTGGTGCTACTTCAAAGTTCCCCAGGAGCCCAAAACAGAATAGTGTTTTGGAAAATCTTGAGGAATTGTTTGGTGCATTTATGATGGGGCTCCTGGGGAACTATTGTTGCCAATCTTGGCCCAGCAGCCATCAAACCATTCTCTTCAACCCCCCGCTGTGCAGCTGACTTTTCCCTAGGGTTGCCAATCTCCAG